ATTACAAATTGACCCTAAACTTATCCTAACAAGAAACCTAACTTTGAAAATATGTTAGAGCGAGGTATTTGGATTTGGGTTTGGCTGTTGGATTCAACCAGTATATTGGATGTTACTACCATTTATTAATACCACTTGACTATGATGCAAAACAGTAGAACTGACAAAGGTTTCTCAGTTAAGGATTCTAAAGGTACAGCGGCCTGTAATCACTTGTATTACCCCAATAAATAAAACATTTTATTTTGCACACTGCCAGCCCAATGGAAGGTTTTTCTTTTTCCAGGTAACATTTATAATAGGCATTTGTAAAAGGGAAAAATGTGAGGAGATTTAGAGGGTGGGGGGGGGGGGGGGAAGAGAGATAACTGCAGGGTGGTAATGATAGGGGTAATGTTCTAGACTCAATTAACAGACTTTAATGTAATGGTAAATACCACATGATTGGTTAATAATTCTTGGACTAAAGCTGATCTCTGCTAAAGTTAAAGATTGATCAGCTGAAAAATGAATCAGATTTTCAAAAAGAATTTTAAAAACATGTAAATAAAAGGTTGATCTCATAAGGTATAATATTAACAAATGTAACCACTTATAAATTTCTTGAAGGATATGAAGATTTCCACTGTTATTTGATGATGGTTGGGTCTGTCCCTTATCTCTCTCTAGCCCATGTATGGTGCCTATAAAGCAGCTATTTTTTTCTGTACAGCACAGGAAGTCAGCTATGCATTTAGCAAACAAGAATGACAACTCTATGCCTTGACATGCCAATCATGAACTTGATTACTATCCCCTGCCATAAGCCACCTCAGTTAGTCTGGCATTTGTTTATCCTGGCATGCCACTTAATCTTTAAATGACAGCTCTGTTACATCTCATCTCAATCACTATATTACATCTCATCTCAATTACTATATTACATCCCATCTCAATTACTCTATTACATCCCATCTCAATTACTCTATTACATCCTATCTCAATTACTCTATTACATCCAATATCAATTATTCTACTACATCCAATATCAATTACTCTATTACATCCTATCTCAATTACTCTATTACATCCCATCTAATTACTCTATTCCATCCATGTTTAAGATTTTCCTTTGATTTACTTTATCAAGGTTGTGTTACCATACAAGGGGGTGGGGAGGTTGGACAATCATCAGTAATTAATAATAAAGCAAATGTATATTGTATTTAGGCTTAGACCATAACGAACATGGAAATATTACCCATACATTAAAAAAAAACATTTTTAATGATAGAAAATTTACAGAATTCAGATTTATTTTACAACAGGAACAAATACATTGTATTAACTCATTATAAAATATATTTTTACCATAACATTGTCTTATTTAGTAAAATTTGAAAGTTAGTCTGTTAAATTCTTAAACTGACTTGGCATTGTTTAAAAACAGCTGCTGATACACCTGCAACCCAACTTGTTCTTAGTTCTGCTCATGAGCTTGGCCATCTTCTTACATCTCATGTTTTTATGTTCTCAAGGTTTCCATTTCCATTTTTTTACACAGCAATTTAGGGGTCACCAATAAAAAGATTTTTTAACAGGACATAAACAATAAGTTCCTGTTCAAGCCCTATTCACTGCTTAGTGTATTAAGAATGTATTCATGATCTTAGTCTTGTATCCTTACAGTAAAATAATGACATAATTTAGAATTGTTCATAGTCTGCGAAATTGCCGCGCTTACATATTTCTAATGGTGAACTTTCCTTTCAGATGTTACGTTGCACTTTTTTTCCAGCTTGGTTTTAAAAGAAGGATAAAGTACACATTGTTGACATTATCTGATGATAGGGGCAGGAACATTTTAAATTTCCGTTTATTATTTTGAAATAAATATTTCTACTAGTTGTATTTATCTGTGAAGTACAAATTTATTTTTGGTTAATTTTTGCTCTCTTGTAAGTAGCCTATATTATCAAAAAAAGTTGATTTCAACTCTTCATCTCTCAAATATGTTTCACTGAAATTTAAAGGAAGTTTTTGACATTTTAAATATTGAAGATCTATTCTTGTTTAATCTTCAAACTATCTCAAATTCTACCCAAAGGTTACAGATATTTTAGTTAGAAATAAAATATCTATGAAATATGATAGTCACATTAATGAAAACAATCATGAAATAAGATTGAGCTACTGTAATGAAAAAAATCATGAAATTTGATAGTAACAAGTAAGGAAAAAAATAATAAAATTTTTATAGTTACACTTAGTTAAAGTAATGAAAATATCATGAAACGTGATAGACTTTTTGCAGCTGCTTATTTTTGCAAAATAAAATATTTTATATAAGGTGCCTTCAATAGGATGCCCTCCTTGCTCATCTCCCTTACATTGAATTCTGTATTGTCTATTAAGTATTAGATAGATTCCGTATGGATTTCTCTGGACATCTTACATATAATCTGTTTTAACTCTCCCGAACTTCAAGTAAAGTGGTTATCTTATGAGCTAAGTATATTTCTATTGGCTGAATCAGTTCAACAGGATTTAAATGTTTCTGTTTTGTTTTTTTTGCTAGGTAAATTTCCATTGGCTTGCATTGACTAGTAGTTTTCTCACTCCACCTCACACATTCAAGAATACCGTCCGAGATTTTATTTTTCTAGGCGATGCAAACATCAAGGAGTTTACAACAATAAAGATCTATACATTGGGCAACTATATTTTTTTGGTTAAGGCCATGACAAGGGTTGCAATAGAAGATGAGAAATTGGTCATGTGGGAAAATAGGTCAGTTGGTAATTAGGTCATGTAGTTTTTCAAGTTTCAGACCTGCATCAGGGTGGATCATTGATATCTTGACTAGCTACATCACTGATAATTGTCAGGGCGGAACCAATTCTGTTATATATATATATATATATATATACATATATATATATATAATTATATTTATATATATATATATATATATATATATATATATAATTATATTTATATATATATATATATATATATATATATATATATTCTTGTCTTACAAACATAGACTTAGAATATGATGCTTTTATTGATATTTACCTAAAGTATACAGTTTTATGTACTTGTGAATTTATACAATTTATTTGTGATAAAATAGCTATGTATATATGTAAGTATGTGTACATTTCCTGTTTACTGTATATAGAATTTTGTCAAATTTAACTTTGGCGTTATAGATGTACAGTTATTTTATTGTGTATAATTACTGTACAAAGACGTTTAAATTCATGTTCAGCAGTTTGTCATTTGAAGACTGTTTCTTAGAACTTATGTAGATACTACAAACATACACAACACAAATCTCAGGTTTTCAACATAAACTCACTTCTGCTCAGCCTCACTAAATTTATACATAATTATTAATCTCATTCTCAACAACTAGTCACATTTTTTTTAAGCAATATGCTTTAAAGAAAAACAAAGTTTTTAAGGAAATGTAAATATATACAGAAATTAATGGTTTCAAGTATTGAAAAAGAAAATGATTTTTTCCAAACTATTTATTAAAATGTTTCCTAAATTTATGAAAAATTATGCATGTACACAATTTATTTATATTTAACTTTTAAGGATACTCTGGTCAACATTTGTTATTGTAGAAGGATGTAGGGCTTAGATTTAATTTTAACTTTTTAGCTTTAGCATTACATTTTCCTTAAATACTATTTATATAGATAGGTAATTCTAATATATTTCAATGTTATTTGTACCAGTCAACGCATTTAAAGTCATACTTTTACTCCACGCATTTTACAAATTTTTAAAAATTTTGCATGTTGATGCTCTTATGGCCTATTTTGCACTAATGATCAAACCACTTCACTTTCTTTGCAGACACCTCATACATTTTCCCACTGCTTTGTAACCGTAGCAACATTTATAAACATCTTTACCATTTCCTGACAGATTATTTAGCTCTTTAGTCTTTTGTATGCTTGTAAAGTGTGCTTCTCACATTGTTAAAGGATGAAATTTCTAGATATAACATAAATAATCAGTTAATAGGTAAATATTAAAGATCTAATTTTTGTGCATGCCTTTTAATTGTAGATTAACTTTTGTTTTTGGAGTGCTAGTGTTGCAGTTAAAACTATTTTTTCCTTCTCAAAATAACAAAATTTGGTGTAGAAAAATGCTAGCTTCTCAGATGTTTGACTTTTTAAGTTGATAATTTCCAATAAAATAAGGCAGCTTAAAAATAGTGTTCAATAAATTTAAAGGCTTTCAGAACACACTTTCAAATCACACATTTAATTAAATTTTGCAGGAGTATTTTGTAATGATCTGTCTTAACTTGTGCATCTTTGAGGTTTCTGGGGCTAATTACTTAGAGAAAACTCTTAGTCAATTAAAAGCTTTCTTGTTAATTATAAGATCTAAATCTACAGATCTAATTTACAAGGAAAGCTTTAAAATATATCTAAAAACTATATTTCACTTTCAATAGAAATTCACAGCATTTCTAAATTTTACTCAACTAAGATACTATATTGTAAGCATTGTAGAAATGTATCATCAGTTTGTCATTTAATGTTATAAATGCAATTTTTTCACTTATATTCCATGTTTATGTATTTTTTTCAAAGACTAGGGAATCATTGTTAGTTAAAAGGATCTGTTGTTTCTGATTGCTATTATTAGAAAAACAATTTTGCAGCATTTTCAAATTGACATCTTGTAAATATTTCCACCTATTGGATTATAACTGTGTTCACTTCCTGGTCATTTCCCCTGGACATTGTTATATAACCATTTAGGCAAATATATGAATTTAAGTTTATTTCATTCAAACAGTGTACAATAAACTATATATATACTGAAATGCTCTTTGAGTTGTTTTTAAATTATTATAAAATCCTGAATTTCCAAAACAGGTTATGAAGAAATGTTATACAAATTAATTTTCTCAGTTAAACTAAAAGAAGAAATAACATTCAATATTTATAAAATTTGATATCATCATATCAATGAATTTCAAAATAAATACATTTTATAATGTCTGTGTTTGGAAACCCATACTACACTTATTTTAAAAATACAACGTAAAAAATGGCTCCATACAAGTATGTTTATTTGTTCTTGTGACATTAAAAATTTTACCTTAACATTTTTCAAATCTTAAAACAGTCATTAATTTTAAAGATGAAGAACCATACATGGCAGTGGAAACTAAAACAATTTACAACAGTTTAAAATAATTGAAGATCCTAAGTGAATATTTAAATTAATGAAGAAAAGGTCAATATGATGAACGCACATAGATTTGTAAGCTGCCCAGTAACATTATGTAGCTAGTCCAAATCGTTCTGCCCTCTTTTTCTTCTTGGCCTGAAAAGATTTATAAAATTATGAATTAAACTTTAAAAAAGTTATTAAAGGTAATTCAAGGCATATGATCTTGACTGTCTAGTGTAAAGTAACAATAACAAAAAGAATGAGAGGATAGTAGTAAAAAAAAAACCAAAAGCATTATTTACATCTAGCTGCTTCTTTTGTTTTTTTTCAGCCTAAAGACTAAGACGATGACGTTTATTTTTAAGATAAAAAGTATTTTTATTATTTGCAAAATGGTATTGTTTAAGTACAGCTGTCATAATTTTATTAAAAGCCAGAAGCTTTTACATAATTAAGAAAAATTAATTTAATGAACTGGTGAAAACTTTACTGAGTAGAATAACAAATATTTTAACTTTGTTATTAACTTGAAAAAAAATTTAACATTCAACATAAAAACAGAACAGGCTGTTTTGTAGATACTGGAAACAAAAAGAAAACAAAACAATAGTCACCTCTATGTCTGAATCTGTTGAAGTGACTGTACTGACTTTCAGGCTAGAAGTAGTAGAAGGTGTAGCAGAAGCAGCAGTGGGAGTTCCAAATCTTTCAGCTCTTTTTCTTTTTCTTTCTTCTTCATCAGCCTGCAAAAGAAAGAAAAATATCACTGTTACAAATGTATTCTGAGAAAACATTTCATAAGACAATTTAAACACAATAAATGAATGACAAAACAGTCTGGAAAAAAGAATATTATGTACAGAATAAAAAATGTGAAGAAAATTGAAAAGACGTTACCTTGGTTAATGATGATGACACCACTGCACCAAACCTATCTGCTCTTTTTTTTAAAACATCAATGTCCTCTCCCTGTTTTTAAACCATTTGGGAATATTAATCTACAAATATGCCTTTTATAACGCAAATATCACAAAGTATAAAAACATTTCTAGTCTGGGTTATGATCATAATACAAAAATATATTTAACAATGGTAACAGAATAGTGCACATATAAGATGACAACTAGAGAGTCTAACTAAAGTGCTTACAGTTGGGCTGGCTAGAGCTGCTGTAGGAGACTTGTTGGCACTTGCAGGTAAACCAAACCTTGAACAAACAAACAATATTTGATTGGGAAAAACAAATTTTGATCGAACAACAATATTTGATTGGACAATAGAAGAAGTAAAAATTGTAATCATCTAGCTGGCTGACAATAGTGAATTCAAATAGCTTTTTGTAAAGATTTTCTGGAGTTGTTCTCAAATATTTATTCTTAAAATGGGATTTCCATCCAGCTGTTTTAGCCTGATTACAGAGTTGCCAGTTACTGCAATAAACATGGTTGACAGTTGCCAGTTACAGCATAAACCTGGTCAACAAGTTGCCAGTTACTGCAATAAACATGGTCAACAAGTTGCCAGTTACTGCAATAAACCTGGTCAACAAGTTGCCAGTTACTGCAATAAACCTGGTTGACAGAGTTGCCAGTTACTGCAATAAACCTGGTTGGCAGAGTTGCCAGTTACTGCAATAAACCTGGTCAACAAGTTGCCAGTTACTGCAATAAACATGGTTGACAGTTGCCAGTTACTGCAATAAACCTGGTCAACACGTTGCCAGTTACTGCAATAAACCTGGTCAACAAGTTGCCAGTTACTGCAATAAACCTGGTTGACAGAATTGCCAGTTACTGCAATAAACATGGTCAACACATTGCCAGTTACTGCAATAAACATGGTTAACAGAGTTGCCAGTTACTGCAATAAACCTGGTTGACAGAATTGCCAGTTACTGTAATAAACCTGATTGACAGTGTTGCCAGTTACTGCAATAAATATAGTCAAAAGTTACTGCAATAAACATGGTCAACAAGTTGCCAGTTACTGCAATAAACATGGTCAACAAGTTGCCAGTTACTGCAATAAATATAGTCAAAAGTTACTGCAATAAACCTGGTCAACAAGTTGCCAGTTACTGCAATAAATCTACTCAAAAGTTACTGCAATAAACCTGGTTGACAGTTGCCAGTTACTTAGAGTACCACTGATCCCTGTAATGGCACATGTGGTCTGACTAACTTATTACTCAGCCGTAACTCATTACATGACCCTAAAACTAACATGGTAAATAAACTTTTAATTAAAGATGTTCATTAAGTTGTTTTGGATTATTAATTAGCTCACCTTTGAGCCCTCAACTCTTTTTTTGCCTCTAAAGATTCTGCACCAAACTTTTTCGCTCTGAGTTTCAGTCTCTGGAAGTACATCATCAAGTTAAGGAATTATACAAACAACCTTTAGAATGAATTAAATAGTTAAATCCATTCAACAATAACATAAAGTTTGTAAACAAAAGTATTTACCTCTTCTTCTGAAAGTTTAGCCATTTCTGCTGGTTTAGCTGTCTGTGTAGTATCTGGTGTATTTTGTTTTGTTGTATCTGCCCTGATGCCAAAAAAAAATAGATATAGTATTTAAAAACTTGAAATAGAGCTTAAATAATATAAAGATTAATGTAGTTTGAAAAGTGTCTTACAAGTTCTTAACACCATTTGATGCAGTTACTTCTACTTTCTGTGGAGTGACTGCTGGTTGGGGATCAGGCTTATCCTCAGGTTTTGTCGCCAGTGTGATGCTGTCATCATTTAACTGAGCAATGAAAAAAGACAGGATGTTTTTCTATCTATAAATACAAGTGACTAGCAAAAGTAATGAAAGTATTTAAATTAAAATGAAATATATAGAGTGGTGAATCTTCAAAGGCAATGTAGAGTAGAATAGGAATAACATAAAGTAATTCATGAGTTTACCCAAAATATGTCAATCTTTATAATAACAATGTCTTGGAAAATAGTTGTTGAGGTGGGAAGCCTTACCACTAACTAGTTAGTACATGATTTACCTATATACTGGAGTGGCCATCTTTATTTTAAAAGTGAATAGTCAAACTAATGGGGACAGTGTGGTTCAGAAGAGAACAAGCACGTAAATGTGAGTCTTGAGTTCAATACCACAACCTAAGAACACCCCCCCCCCTTCCCCGTCCGTGATGCATTCAGAAGTAAGTAAATATACACTGTATCCAATAAAATAATAAAAAACTGCTTACTATGTTATCAATGCTATGAATACTATCATCAAGTCCACCATCTGATCCTTCAACTGAAACATTAAAAAAATTGTAAATATTTTTAAAAAAAAAAAAGCAAAAAACTAAGCTAAATAGAGGGTACCCCAATAAAAAAAATACTTTTACCTGCTGCACCCAATGCTTCTTCAAGACGTTTGAGAAGCTCTGCTTTTGTACCAGTTATGGACAATCCTCTTTCTTTCAACACTTGTTTGAGTTCAGGAACCTAATATTCAATTCAAATAATTTAAAATCAACTGTAAGATTTAAGTTTGTTTTGGTATAGTCAGTTTGGTTATATTAATAATATTTATGACATGTATTTTAAATTATACTTCTTGTATTTGCTAAAATCTTGTGGTAAAATTCTATTTTTAGTTCAAGACATTATTTTTATGTTATTCTGTATCATACTAACATACACATTTTAATAGACATTTGCCTCATTTGCATTATTATTTAAATAATGCATACTAAGCAATAGAATAGATTCGACAATGATTTTATTCATTTTAAATAAATAAATGGAAAAATATTGTATAAAAAAACATAAGAACCACAGAAAACACGAAGCTTCCGTAACATATACTAGTTGTAGCTTTGTTCAGGAACATGTTTTTCAACTTTCTGTGGCCATGAAATTAGTTAAGTCGTGATGTCAGTTTGTACCTTAATTTTTGCATTTTATCTTAAGATGGGTATACTTTGCTATGTTAAATTAAGGAATAAAAACTTAATTTAAAATTTGGTAATAATAGGCATAGCCCAACAGAGCCTACACTGCATTTTTAACAATTACGACAAGGAATAATCCTAATAATAATAAATATGGTTATTCTCAGTTGATTGGGACTAAATATTAGGATATTATCATCGTCATCATAAAATATTAAAAAGAAAGACTGTTAAGAAATCACATAGATTATAGATTAACTATTAGTAGGGATTTAGGTATAAACACAAATTTCATTATATTAAAAAATATATGTTCTTGTAGATCTCAATCAGGAGAAAACAAAACAGAAATTTTTTTCTTTCTATCCCAAATAGTTTTTTAAATGAATTTTTTTGTGTGGGAGGGAGGGGGGGGGGGGGGGGGGGGGGTAAAAGTCCCTCTTTTTAACATTGGCCATTTGTGACAAGTCTTCATAGGGTATCTATAAATTAGTATAGTTTGGTTAATTTCAGTTGGATTTTGTTCATATTTGCAGAGTTGGTCTACAATGTTATAGGGAAGGTATATTCATAGTAAAACTGAAGAAAAAAAAAGGAGATAGTATACTTTTGATGAAATATCTACCCCTACATTAAAAACCGCACTATGTTCTTTTACATTAATTTATATGTATTATTTTTAGAGCAATGTTTGATACACATATAATAGATAAAGGTATTTCATTCTAAATATTTGTATTTTAAATATCCAAACATGAAAAAAGGTTAGTAGAATTAGTAGACTGTTAAACTCAACCGAATTTGAACTGCATGCACAGAATACTTACTTCAACTGCGGAAATGCATTTTACTAAAACTGCATTAGCCTTATCTTATACTTACAGGGTATTTCAAAATATAACTTATTTATTTTTTAACTCCTAGTAGAACATAAACTTCTTAGCAAAAAGATGCATGCACCAAAGATAAATTGATATTTTTATGATCAACAAGCAGGGTTGTATTAATTTTATTTGTATTGTTACCCACAACAGTGAAACTTCTCCGGATGGAGAAAACTAGATCCGCTACTTTTATAATAATACCCTGCCTGTGATCATATAAATAACAATCTGAAATAAACAATAAATCAATTGTTTTGACAAGCAAATCAAGATTTTTTTATAATCATCATCACAATGTTTTCCATTTTAGTAATTGATTGGGTTTCCATTCATGATTGGTTTGATTTTGTTTTCATTCACAGGACATTATTTTGTGGAATGTACTTCTTACCCAGACATTTAAAGAATACTCAGTCGAAGAACTCAATATCTAATAGTTCACATCAAAGTTATATTTACACAATTTACAACTTTATAACTGAAGTCATCAATGTTCCAATTATAAAAATAAAAAAAATTATGAGAATACAAATATTTACAGACAGCTTGTGATATAAATGTTTAAATTAACATTAGATCATGTAAAATGAGATCAGTTAAAAAATCTGTCAAAATGATGTTGTAATCAACAGATTCATCTTCTACTTCATCTGGCTTCCAGTAGGACACTGTCAGATATTTCTCAGGATTCTTCTGCCCTTTGAAATATACATCAACAATTCTTCCATTATACAAGACATCTTTGCCTTCAACATCCCATAAATGATTAATTTGTTGGCCAATTAAAAATGTCGGCAGCTCAGAAGTTTTTGCAGTTATCAAATTGAACTGATTGACAATTTCAGGAGAACTTCTTTTAAAAATTTCTGAGGAAAAATCATTAGTTTTCAAAGCTTTCTTAATTTGTTTATTTATCATTTTTTCTATTTTTCTTATCAAACAGCTTTTCTGTTTCCACTTGTCTCTCCAAAGCTTCTTTCTCATTGGCCTTCATTTTTAGATGATTAAATTTTCTTAATTTGTAAGCTTCTTTCATGGAAAAGTTGATGGTCTTTTTAAGCTCATCCTCTGGTTTTTTTAACATCCATGACATGGTGTCATTAAACCTGCTCTTAACTTTTCCAGAAATAAACATAAATGTGGAATTTGGTGCTTGTCTCCACATGTAATCTGTCAAACCTAGAGCTCTTTCAGAGGCCATGTTATGTGCTGGTGCTGATGAGGCTTGTTCCATCATTTCGCTACTAGGGTTTGACAAAGTTCCTTCAATGTAATTGTACAACTGCCTCTTAAAACCTAAATAAATACTCTGCACTGCAATTGGAATCATGTTTTTAATTAATTCTGTTGTTTCAGGGTCAAAATAGGTTATAAGTGATTTTAATCCAGGATCATTTTCTTGATTAATAGGCTCACCAAAAATATTTGATTTTAGAGTAAGAACTTCTAAAGGGCTTGAAACAAAATGTTCAAATTCAGACTGGCAGCCTTGAATAACAGGAACTAGTCCTAAATTTGATTGATTTGAATAAAATTTGGTAATCCAAGGCCCAGTAATTGATTTTCCAATTAAAGCAAGGGTAGTGAGTTGTGCTACAACAATTGGGTCTTCTAGATAACTTTTGATGTTTCTTTTTAAATTTGAAGCTTGATTTTTTGATACATTTGTGAGAAGATTTGTTATATAAAAAACAATAATCCCAGATAAATGGAACAGAATATGCATTCTGTTTCCTACGTATCTCATGAACATTCCAATAGGAATGTCAAATTTTTTTACAAAATAATTTAAAACCAGGTGGATCTCCTGTCTTCATGGAGTAACGTAATTTGGAGACATCCATTAAACAGTGAACAGCCTTTGGGTGTAAAGTTTGACTAGGCACAGATGAAAGCTTTTGACCGGTCATTGTTTCAATAAAAAATTCTAGCAGGTCACCAGCTGATGCCACAGACACATTACAGAGCAGGGACTTGTACATGCAAAGTCTGGTGTCAGTGTCAAATTCTTTGCCCCTTTTGGTAATTATTTCATCTTTATTTGTAATTTCTTCAAAGCGACAAGTTAAATCATCTATCACTTGATTTAAGGACACAATTTCTTTAGATTGGTTTGAAATCATCAGTTTATTATTTTTCAAAGTAAGTGTATTAGAATCAATTTTAGATTTCAAAATTTTATTTCTTCTCTTTATGTATTTCATTTTTTCCTTTTGTTGAACATAATTGTGTACAGGAAGAGCCTTGATTGTGCGTTTTAGGCTAATGATCTCTTGCTTCTTTTTATGCAGACGTTGTGTCATTCGTTTTAATTTTTGATTTACCTTTCTTACTTCGTAGAGCCTTTTTTTTTGCTACATGTGCTTTCATAAGTGAAAGTTTCTCTTGTTTTAGCTTTTTATTTTCTTTCAAAAGATTCTCATTTGATATTCTTTTGAATACACAATTGGCACAATCTGTACGAAGTTCTTTATCTAATGTTTGAACTTGAACATGTTTAACAGGTGATCAGTGACGGTTTTGAAGGTCCAGGAATAGAAGGATACATTTCAATAGATGTTTATTTTTTATTCAAGTGATAACAAACATCTTCATCTAAAAAACTCGATATTGCACTCCAGTTGCTGCTATAATGTTTTTTCAGGAATTTAAATTTCTTTTCAGCATTGAAAATTGTGGTCTTGAGTGCTTTCAGTTCTATGTCACAATATTGAGAGGTCAATACATCACTGTTCAGGTTCTTTATTTCTTTTAAAAGTGATAGTGCTGCTTGATGATAACTTTTATTAATTTTAGAAAACCATATTAAATTCCCAATTTTAATAAATTCATTATGTAAACATTTATAAGAATCAATTAGGTTATTGAGTTCTTCTAAAGAATGAGTAACTTCAGTAGGTCTATCCATAGCTGAGAGAAACAAAATAACCAAACAGTAGTTATAATTTATCTTATTAATTATCATTGTTCTATTAATTTTAACTACTTTAAAATGTGTATAGCAACAGGTTGTACAGGTAGATCTAGGCCTGATTCTAACTTATGACTATTAAAATAACAACAAAATTAAATTAAAAGTACTAGGGCTAGGCCCTAAAAAAAGTACTAAAAGTAGAGAAAAAAAAACTTGAACAAATATTTGGCAGAAATTAAATCTTCAAGCAAATCTAGAGCTGAAAAGAGGAATATATAGTATGTAATAATATATTAAATTATTTTTAAAACTACAATTAGGAGAGTTGTTTACACATTAATATTAAGAGAATGTTGTTAGTGTGTCAAAACTCAAAAGCCGGCAGTGAGAGAACAGGATGAAAAAATATAACAATGGTGGCAGCGTGACCTACATACAGTGACTACGTTCAGAGGAGTATAAGTTAATATAAGTATAACTAATGTCGGAGTCAAAATATCCAAAAACAAATTTCATTTCCACATACTTAAGATATGTCTGATCAGTAATCTACTCTCATCTAGAATAATCTTTTAAAAAATCGAGATTCCAACGTATTTGAAACTAATCTTGATACAGAGGGAAGACCAAAGCAGAGACAGCATGCAATCAGGTTGCAGAGCCATTAAAACTAAGGGAAAACCACTCTAATTTTAATTAACCTTAGGAAATGACCTTTTAAACTTAATTAATTACCATAAATTAAAAACTTAGTATGCAAAACCAAATCTCGTGGGTCCGGTATCAGAAAGTAATCGGCGATTTCGGGTCATGTTTTTACCGCGAACTCGGCGGATGCCGACAACCCTACTATTAGCTTAAGTAATGAAGTAATTAACATTTTTAGGCTAACTACTAAATTTCTAAAACTAGATTCTGATTTAGAATCTAGAACTAGATCTAGATTATTTCTAGATCTTAGATGTGATGATTCTGTAGTAGTCTATCGTTTAAGGTATGTAAAATCGCCAGCGACTAGTAATGTGAAAAACAGGTGACTCCTTAAATTTTAATAGTTATTTCCCATTTTGAGGAGGATTTATGTTTTGAATCAGAAAAACAATAATGTTTCCTTGTTTCATTTATGTACCTGTTTTTAAATAATTGAATCAAAACTTTTCAGTAATAAATGAAGACTAGCAATGTATCCAACAGATGCAACCATGCTCATTTACTGTAGCACCCATCTTGTTTACGTTTTTTTTGTAAACTTATAGCACGAGATTCAGGGGAAGCGACTCTATTTTTACAAATGGCTACTGTTTATATAGCAAATCTTGCTCGCAAACACTGCTGTTTAAAGTTAATTTCTGGCCTATATCTATATTTAGCCATTGATTTAGGTTATTTATTCATTTATCTATAATATTTGACACAAATATATCACAATATACTTCTATTAAAGCCTTGACAATGAGGTAACTTTTTCGTACATTACTAGCCGCGGCGATTTTATGTAGCCTACATAAAAAAAAACTATAGATTACTGATGTTTCTTCATCTCATGGATGCAAATGTCTTAGTTAGATTGTCTTAGAATCAATGAATTCAGATCTAGTCTAGATCTAGAGATGAGATAGTCTAAAACTCTAAAATCTAAGGGACCAAGTCAATGCTGCAGTGAAACCTGCAGTCTGAATGTCTGATGGCAGTTGAGTTGATGATGGCCTGAGCCTGAGTGGAGTGATCATCCTGGATTCCTGATGATGCCATTGATGGCAATGCAGCTTCTTCTTGAACTAGATTCTAGCATCGTACTTAAAAACGAACGAGTATTTTACAGTAAATAGGCCTAAATCCTGTTTTACGTAAAATTTGATTTAATGCTAACATTAATAGTTCTAGGCCTAGAGTAGAATACTTACTTTCATTTTTTTGTAATCTTCCATGGTTTGATCGGCCATTTTAAACCTTCAACATGACGTAAGGAGTAGTCATTGAAAAATATGTACATCAATAAATTCAGTAGCCTATAGACCTAGTTATATCATAATAATCAAGATAGATATACTTTCTGAAGTCATTTGATTTATCGTTAATGAATGTCCATCATATTAATAATATATGCTAACTCACAGCCGGATATTATTAATACATTTTTTAATAACTTATTTGTTTTAATAACTGCTCATTATTGACATTTTAAACTGCTTTAACTGTCATAGAATACTCCTTTATGTTTACTTATTTCCGTATTTTGTTGCTCGACATTTGTTGACATCTCAGGATTTAGATCTAATTCTACGTAGACTAGATCTAGATCTAGAATATTGTAGACTAGATCTAGATTCTAGTAAGATATAATGGTTTAATTCCTTAATGTCGTTACTATTTTTCTGAAAATGGAGTTTTTTCAAACTAATGAGTTCTACATAATTTTGGATCAAGAATTTAGTCTTTGGTGTGACAGAACAAATGGAAATTTTGAACCAAGAAAAGGTAGATTTTTCTACTACTAGGTCTAGAGTTCAACTAGAATTCTAGATCTAAAATCTAGATCTAAATACTAAGGGGTCATCCATTAATGACGTCACGCTTTTTTTGAACATCGATATTTTTTCCAAAATCTTGTCTGAAATATGTCAAAATAGAGTATTTTAATCAATTTAGGCCGTTCGATTCACAGCTTCCGGGTTTGTTGTTTTGAAGCCATCTCACGGCTCATGCGCTTACCAAAAATGGCGACCAGTTTCGCTTTCACTAATGGGTAGAGGGATAAAACTAATGATTACGAAGCCATCGTTAATTTTAGAAATCGGAACTATCCGTTTCTATTTAAGTCTATTAATTAAGAATTGTCGGATCTACTTTTGGCCTAATTTCTTTGTTTGTCTCGCAAGCGGCGCCTTAGTGAAAGTAGCTCTATATAATTCTCATCTTTCGAATCAAATAACTCTAAAATACCCCGTGTATAATAAACCAAACTATGTGTATATGAAACTTGAAAGTATCAATTTTACACACATTACAATTAACTGGTAATAACTTATGGTCGGAATGAGATGTGGTCCGTGCAAGTAATAATGCCATTTTATTATAATCTTTTTTGGTGAACACGAGGCGCGGGAAAATGTGTGCCGCGCAAGAATCCAATCATTTGGCTAGGTTTATGACTGTTTTTTTATGTCACACCTAAAAATAGAATGTTTACGCTTTCTTCATTGATAATCGTTTTTATTATTTTTTAAACTGAAAGTATGAATTATTAGTTAGATTTTAGGTTTTGTAGCTTGGTATACTTACCCTTTATCAATTTTAAAAGCATAGCATGCTGATTGTGAACAAATAGTCATAAAACACAGAAATAAAAAGTTACATGCGATGTGCCACACCCGGGTCACACCCCCTCAAGAAAACACGTGTTTATTAAGCTGTTTATCTCACTTTACAACAGTAATTAAAATTAATTGTCAAATTTTTATTACGTATTGGGTAATATTAAGCACATGTTTACTAATAGTTAAAAAGAAACATAAGTAAATTCTATTTTAATGAAGGTCACAGGTCAAGTTTTTTTTCCTTCTTTCAAGTTCAGTGGAGGGTGCCACAGGCTGACCTGACTTTGGAATTTTTTTCAGTAATAATGACTTTGCACAGAAAGTTAAAATATGCTAAATTAGCTTAGTTTACTAGTATTCTAGCTATTATTAATACATTTTTAATAAAAAAATCATTCTGTAATTCTCATCAAAAAGCCTAATCAATTCCTATTATAATTTATTAAAACTGTTTTCTAAAACACTAAATAATGTAAATAACGTCTAAAATTCGTTTCATAAAGTGTGAACCCCCCCCTCCCCCTCATCACACATCGTCACAAAATTACGACCCCCTCCCCCCTTAGAGTGTGACGTCATATGGGCGACCCCTAAACTCTATCTTTAAATTAATTTAATCTCAGTAGGCCTAATAGTTACTGTATCTTAAATTAGCTTATTCTATTAAATTAGGCCTAAATGTATTGATATATTACTATATTATTGATTTATTAGGCTAGGCCTAATTACTAGTAATTGTGGTAGTATAGACATCAGGTAATCTCAACCACATAACCTAAGATATTAAAATACTCAAGTACCTCAACTTCATGTTAACTAAAGCATTTAATACAAAGTGGGTCTGTGAAATATTACAATATTAATATAGATACCTGCAAGTCTCTGTGTCTGCATTCTTGTTGTTGTACATCTTTGATGTCTGCAATGTGGCTTAATGTCTTAACAGCTCACAGTTTGTGAATGGACTGGATAGTACTGGTCAGTCAGGGGTATAGTTAATCTATATTATGCATGTTTATCAAGAGGGGAATGCACAATGTTGAGATAGCTACCCAGTGGTGAGGGAAAGGTATCTTGCATTGAGAATGCCCTTTTCCTGGAGTGGATGCAAAGGTATCACCACACTTTAGATCCTATGACTCTGCCTTTATAGGTTTTTTTTGAATGAATAAGTTGCTGTAACTTACTCCTGACGCTCAACAGTGTCACACAAAAAAAAACATTTGAGGCCTTGAAGTACTTGAAGGGATAACATCATCTCATTATCTTTTCCCTATTGTGATCAGGACACATGGGGCTGCCACAAAATGCTCTTTACACTTAAGCTGTTCTCTGGAAATTTTCTTGGCAGTCCCCCAAGATAGTTTTGCGCTGCCTTTGTCTTCCCTGTTTTTTTTCCTTGTGGCATCCAGTAAAATACCAAACTTTATGTGATGTCATCCTCTTATTAAAATAAGGACCATCCAGCACCATCTTCTTTTTTCAATGATTTTTCAAATGGCCTCCATTTCTATTTCTCCTTGAAATCTATCATTGTAGATGGTGTTGGGCCAGTGGATGTCTTTTAACCTTTGCAGGCACTTAGTTTAGAAAGAATCCAGTAATCTGATAGTAACGATTGTTGCTTTCCAGCTTTCACTACCATAATACAGTTGTACGCTAAGGAAATTACTTTTGAAAATTCTGCACTTGGTAGGGGAGATTATTTAAAAAATCATCATGTTTTTATGCATTATCATAGAGACAAAATTGGGGGGGGGGGTGTTTGGTGGCTTGTTTTTTTTGTTACCTATAAGTAGAGATATGAATTAAGTATAATGATTGCAATATTAATATTTAATAAAATGTTTCAAATTTTGTAGTACTTAATCTGTTTGCTTTTGTAGTACATTACTTTCTCTCTGTGTAGACCCTCATTTCTGTTTAGAAGGGGGTGGGGGTGTAGTGGGGGATTTTTGGATTGATAATATATGTGGTGGTGCTGTATGAAATTATTACAAAGGCATTTAGCATCACAGAGGTGGTGGGTCAAGAAAGTCGTATTTTCTGTCAATGTTAAAAAATTCATGGTGTAAAAAAGTGTGGGTTCAATTTTGAGTTTTAATGTAAAGAAAGGAGAATTAGATTTTCATTCTGTGGTTTGGTGTTACATACAATTTTCATTTATTCTTCAACAGGTAGTGACTTTCAAAAGTCTAAAAATCCAATTTGTATTGGAAAAATTTATGGTCTGATTGGTAAAGTTAAATTACACCCAGGTAAGTTATGTTGTTTTTAATGTTATTTTATTATTTTCTGTTCAAGTTATAATTTAGATGTTATATTCATGAATTGGGTGCAAAGCAAATGCCTGGTCTCAAGTTAGGTTCATGGAGTAAAAAAATTAAAGCTAACTGGGCACAGAACTCACCATACTGGAGGCGAGGCATTGGAGGTTTCAGAATTAGATGAACCAGCCAAAAAATTGAAATCAGTAACCTTGAATTCAGGCATTTCTTGTGTTTTATTTTTAGTGTTTATCATACATCAACATGGAAATATGTCACTGAGGCCATCTTTATCCCATTCAAAATGAAATTAGTTTTTTATGCTATTTAATATGACAAGAAAACTAATTTTTATGTATATTTGACTATATTAAATTTTTTATGTTTTATAATAATTGAAATGTAAAAATTGTACATCATTTTAGTAAGCTTTAACCGTTAAAATTTTCCTATAGGCACTAGTTATTAGTAGTACTTTTGTAAAGCTAAGACTTAACTACCCATTTTCTTGCAGATTCAGAATGGCGCCTGCTGGTAATAAAACAACGAAGCTTAGTGTGTAAGTTAGCTGGTCAGTTCAACATTTATAAAATTGACAAGATTGCAGTCCTGCCAATAAACACAGTAGACAGTGCCTTTGACATTCTGGATTTAGAGGTAGCATTTTTAAAAATGTAATATAGATACATTTTCAGTTGCCTATCAAATTCTGTTATGGAGTAATACAACCTTTTTTTCACCTTTGCTAGCCATGTGGAAAAGAGCAACACAGTCACCACAAGACCAGTCAGGCAAATGATGCATCACAACAAATGTCTCTGAGAGGAACATGGAACTCTATCAAAACAGCTGCAGAAAATGTCAAATTAAAAAAGGTTTGGAATTCCATTGTTAGTGACTTATTTTTTTCCAACTTGTTTAGTTTCATGGCCCTGAAAGTAATTGGTCATTTCCTGAAACATTAATTATTTTTTTATTGCCGATCTTGTTTTGCAATCAAACTTCTTATATTTTCAGAAAGAAACAAAAGACAAAGAGAAATTTGAAAAGAGGATTCTTGAGGTACCTGAAAACTTAAGTTTATCTTCATGAATATGTGAAGTTCTCAATTAAAAAAACTAAGTGTTATTACAATGTTTAACTATTGATTTTTGCATTAAAATTATGTTAAATTATCTCAATTGTTATAACTTTTTTATTACAGTATTGCCAGAGATTACATATTCATATATATATATATATATATATATATATATATATATATATATATATATATATATATATATATATATATATATATATATATATATATATATATATATATATATATATATATATATATATATATATATATATATATATATATATATATATAAAACAGCATGGAAATGCTGTTTATACAAATTTAGTTATATAAATGAATGATTGGCTCAGTAACCAAGTACACATATAATATACTATTTTTCTTGCAGTGTTAATTGTGTTTAATGATTCTTGTAATTTTTTTACTTGCCAGGAACTGATGAAAATGTACAATGGATCAGACTTCTTTTACTACAGCGATAACTTTGATGTGACTAACTGCTTACAGCGTCAGTACAAGCCAACATATGACAGGGGTCTGGCACTGTGGAAGAGAGCAGATGAAAGATTCTTCTGGAACAAACACATGCTGCTTGACCTCATGGCAACAAATGTAAATGTTTTCTGCTCACTTCAGCATTGGGACATTAAACTTTAAAGTCGTTATTAACATTAAGAAATGTTTCTAGGAATAAACCTAGGCTATTTATAACCAAGCTTTTGAAATATGATTGTATTCTTTGTTAGATACAAACAAATGGGCTTTAAAAGTAGTGTACAGGGAAATAACTTTTATCTTAAGAGCTTACTTTTTATAAATGTGTTTTTATTGGATTTAAAATAACATCTATCAAGACTCAATATTTAAATTTTTTTTATATGACTGTTGTAAGCTTCAGATTAAAATATATTCATTAAGAATCTCATGTCTTAGAGCTTGAGATAATTAGTAATTGTGCACTAATGAATATGTACAATACCTGAACACAGGATCCCTTGGCTGACCACTGGATGGTGCCTGTTATCCAAGGCTTTGTCCAGATGGAGAAGTGTGTCATGGACTTTGATGAGGACAAGAAACTTGGCTCCGATGTGTCTTCTTCTGTTGACTTCCCCAGCCGCAGACTTGAGCCCCTGGGATACAACATCAGCATCATCTCCAGGAGAAGTCGACACAGGGCTGGTTAGTTGAGAAGACAGTATTTCTTTCCTCTAAAATATCGTTGTGTTAGATAACGAAGAGTTTCTTATATTAGATGTCTACTTTCTCTAAACAGATGCTAACACAACATGTACACATTAGTTAGAATATTTTTCTCTTCTCACATTTGTCTGCCCTCACATTTGTCTGCCCTCACATTTGTCTGCCCTCACATTTGGCTCCCTCACATTTGTCTGCCCTCACATTTGTCTGTCCTCACAGTTGTCTGCCCTCTCATTTGTCTGTCCTCACATTTGTCTGCCTTCACATTTGTCTGCCCTCACATTTGTCTGTCCTCACATTTGTCTGCCCTCAAATGAACTATTTTGTTTGCTATAGGAACCAGGTCCAGAGCAAGAGGCATCAATGCCAGTGGTGCTTGTGCTAATTATGTTGAAACAGAACAGGTAAGTCAAGGAGCTCAGGTATTTTTCTGTCATGCTTTAACAACTCTTATACTTATACTGCCAGATGTGAAATAAAAGCCAACATTTACACCTTAGATGTCTCTGACTAAGTAACTCGATTATACGCATCATGGTGAGGTTATAAAATCTGTCAACAAATAGACAAACATTGACTTATTTTCTGACTACATCTGGTAGATTTGATGTCCAGTATGTAGGTTAGTTTCTAAAATATAATATACCCTTGAGAAAATAATTCAAATTAAATATATATGACAAAGACTAACAGACAAGTATGAAACTAGTTAAATTAAATATGATGAGGAAGACTAACAGACAAGTATAAAATTTTGTTTTAAATAAGTTACAATGTATAAAGTTTACTTCTGACAGTCTCAGCTGTTACGCCACTTATCTTAGATTTTGGTTTTCAGATAATAGAGTTCTCTCCTCACCTGGTATCGTTCGTGCAAGTCCGAGGTTCCATCCCAGTTTTTTGGAGTCAGTCTGGATTCAAATATCGGCCGCCACCAAGACTGGATAAAGGTAGGGCGTGGTTCTAGAAGCTTTCTCCAGCATCTGGCATCTTGCGAGTCTCATGCTTTGCTATTTCATTAATAATGATGCAGTTTCTGTCTCTTTTCTCTAGTAAGTTAAGTTTTCAGACTTTAATCAATACGGGTGAATGCAACAAATTGTAACTTGCCTTAGTTTGATTAAACTTTATATGATATTCTGTCTCAAGAAAATGTTTTTTAAGGGAACAAGATACCCATGTTTTTGATAAAATGTTAATTTTGCTACCCAAAATTTTTATTTCTTAATTCGATACTAATACCTTTTATCTATCTAACCCGAACATTTCGGACTTCTACAGCTTACGGTTATTCGTTTATTGCGATGTGAAACATGGTACCCCCCGGCAAGTTTTCACACTACTACGCGGACAGCGGCTATCTTCGAGCGGGTATTACATCATTTATTGCCCGCGAGGCACCATAAACTTTACAGCAATCTAAGGGCCAAGCACTCGTGTACCCGCTGGTGTAGTGACCTTTTCTTTTGTTCTAAAAATAATTGGGATAGAAGTTGTTTTCTACAAAGTAAAATTTTATACTAAACTCCATATAAGGGCATGCGCGTAAAATTTATGAATGGGAAGAGGTTCATTGATACGCTTGACCAATCATATTATAGTACAGTAAATCAAAATAATTCACGATAGGCTGCAACTAACCACGTGTGCTAGGCAGCCATCTTGTTTCTAGATAAACAAAACAATCGCCTGTCTCGTTTGTTTACCTCATTTGCGTATACTCTTCTATTTGTTGTTTTAAAGTAATACAACAACATTAAGTTTAATAACTGAAACTTTGCCTAGAAATGTACTGTTGATTATCACTGGAACAATATTAAACACTGTTGCGTACGCTTTAAAATTATACTAAGCTGAAACAATGCGTCATGGACATGACTATCAGTTTGAAGAATGTACTGTCCATCCCCTTTACCCCCTTCATTCCCTTTTCTCCATTCAACCAACGGCCGGTTTATAATCTTGTTACGGCTAGCTGTGATAGGCTTGAACGCGTTCATCAGGCTTTACACCGGACTGTATACGACACATGTGTTAATGTGTATGCCCATCTCTCCGTATAGGGTGTGCTAGCAACGAATGTAAATACTAGATAGATCTAGTAGTAGATAGGATAGCTGGGAAGCATTCACTTAAGCCCTGTACTTGACCCTATCTACACAGATGTGTTATTCGCGGTTGAATGAACATTGGTAATCTATGGCTCATCGGTTCCTCACGCACTATCCAGCGGTGGGATGGGGTGGAGGGGCGTGTCTAGCCTCAAGCGTTGTACCCAGTGTTGTGTTGTAGGCTATTATCATAAGGCAATAAACTTGTGTAAGCTACAATTTGAGTAGAGAAAGACATTGTTTTGAAGTGAGAAGACCGGCTAACAAACAAAACTTTATCTGGTTTGATGATAGCTGTTCTGAGAATACCGCTCGATTGATAGGATGTGTAATACTTAATAGTCATACATTCATTACCTGTTGTATACATATTTTCTGCTTACATAGAAAAAATCTATCTAAAGCTTACAACATAAATCAAAGCGTATTCAATTAGACAAATGGTTCTTCCACATATAACAAGACGTTTTTTTCTGTTTTCTATAAGAGAAAACGCACCACGCCTTTTCCCGCTCTTCTTTTCACGTTTTCTCAACTTTGCATTTTTACTCAAAATTCGACATTCAAATCGCTAAGGCTTTGGAACCCTTTGTCATACGAGAATAAAACATTCCACGTGCGTTCAGCATTATACCATCTACAAAACTACGTTTGTACATTAAGTTTACTACAATACTTAAGGAAATATTGATATTTTTGTAACACCACCCCCTAATTTTTGTACATAAATTTACGTAAAAATTTGTATAAAAAATTGAGTACAAGCTATCGCAATGAGTAAACGTAGAAATGTATAGTTTGGTTTGAGAAATCTAAATCTTTCATCCGCTTTTTAAAATCTTTTATGGGAACAAAGCCTTAGCGATTTGAAAAGGTGTTAGTTTTCACACCTTTTCGCTGTTTCCATGGCAACCAGTACTGCTATTGACGGCTATATATTATTTTTGTCTATAGTTTAACAACTATAATTATATGAACTTATTAAACAACCAGAAATGTGTTAAATAAAAAAAAATTTTTTATCCGTGGTGCCTATCCTTAATGTTAGCATTTACTTTAAAAAAGATAATGAACTTAATTCAACTTTACAATTCTAAATATACTAATTTTTCTCAGGCATCTTATAAAAAAATTGCTTTTAGACTGAAATTTAAAAAAAATACTAGAAAGTTATATTTTTAATCTTACATTGTTAATTTACCAAAATGTAACTAGAAATTTAAAAGATTATTTAAAGAAAGATTATTTCAATTTTTTGGTTTGTTTTTAAGTGTATTTTTATTTTTTGTTTTACTTATTTTTGTGAGATTTTAATCTAAATTATTACCATTACTGTCTATTTGTATTTGTCCTTTTATAATCTGTGTTCAACATCTTCTACCTAATACTAAAACATGTGATAATTTAAAAGCATAATTTTATACTATACATATATATATTCCGATACAGCCAATTATAATTTAATTTCAAGAAAATGTGTAGAGAGTGTGGAGGCGTATGTTGTTAGAAAAGTTTTGGCTTCACAAGGGGCATTAACTGCATTTTGGTTTTAGTATTTAAATAGATGGTTACCTCCCCTGAAAATATAATGCGAAAAATTCTAATATTAGGCCTATATCCTCGTATTTAATTAAAAAAAAAACTGAATCAGATTTTTCATTTATGACGTCACGCTTTTATTGACGATTTTTACCTCCCCCTCCCCTCCGTCACACGTCGTCACGAAAAGCCAGACCCCCCCCTAAAATGATGTTACACCACAGCCTACAACCCCCCCCCCCCCCCCCCCCCCAAAAAAAAAAAACAAAAAAATTGCGGTTGAATTTTTTTTAAAACATCGATATTTTTCTAAAATCTTGTCTGAAGTCTGTCAAAATAGAGTATTTTAATCAATTCCTATTACAATTTATTAAAACAGTTTTCTAAAACGCGAAATAACGTCTTAATTCGTTTTCTAACATTGCTTTTTACTTTCTCGTATATACGAAGTATAGAGAAAGTCTTGTAATCGTGCAAAAAAAAAAATCGAGATTTTTACAAATCTCGACGTTTTACACCCCACTGATACGGAAAAACATAATTTTGCAATCTTGTCCGTATGTCTGTGCGTGTGTGTGTGTGTGTAAACACGATAACTTGAGTACCGTTACAGCTAGGTTGATGAAATTTCATATATAAGTATTTTATCAAAATCGTAGATCCGTATCAACTTTTGAGCGATTTCCGATAACCGGAAGTGGTACCTTTTCTACTTTGAATTTTTCAAAAGCCTATAACTTGAGTATTATTTCAGATAGATAAATGAAATTTCACATTTAAGTAAAAGATCTAATTCTCTACCTTCTATCAAATTTTGAGTAATTTCCGTTGACCGGAAGTAGTAATTTACGCCATTTCCGATTTCTCAAAAAAAAGCATGTAAATGTATAAAGTACTAATAATATTCCGCACTATTATGCACATTTTATTTTGGCGTTCGCTTGGTGCGCAATTCTTTTTTCTACGAGATTCTATTCTATTTTTAAAAGTTTAAATAATTAAAAATCATGTCTATATTCCGAGTTATATTAGAATATTCGAGAAAGTTTAGGGGAGATCACTCCCGGTTTATTTATAATGCAAAAGTGTGACGTTGCACCATCTGAACCCCCCCCCCCCCCCCCCCTCATCACACACTGTCACAAAATTACGGACCTACCCTCCCCCTACGAGTGTGATGTCATTTATGGACGACCCCCAAAGCATTTCAACTTAGTTAAAAATAACATAATGTAAAAACGTATAAAAAATGAATATACCACTACTGGATTTTTAATAATACTTCAAGATGAAGTAAACGCTTTGTTGTGTTGCGACAGAGAGGGATGAGGTAGAGAGTTCTAAAAGATTGTTCTACAAATACTAGTAGCTTAGATCTGACATTGTCTGAAGGGAGATTACTGTTCTTTTTTTTACACTAGACAAGTTGTTGTTTGGCGGGGGGGGGGGGGGGGGAAATCCCGGGGAAGCTCGGACTACTGTTGTTTTTGGGGGTGGGGGGGGGGGGTGGGGGTGGGCACAGACATGTACAATCTAAGAACATAAAAACATAGCACTAAATAAGTAAATACTTGTAACATAAAAATTACAAGAAACATTTCTCCAGGGACTTACTTTGTGTGCCGGAAATCGTTTTTCCTACTTTGTTTCTAGATTTTTCTGCTCAAGCATCTCGTTGCTTTGACGTTAGACCCATAAATATAAACAATTGGTTAAAAATATACGTTGTATGGGAGGGGACGGAGGGGCAGTGACAAAACGTTTGAAAGCTGCTACATTAGAATGAGCGAAACAGTTATTAAAATGTCCTGCATTGATTAGAGCAAAGCCCATTACTGAATAGACATTAGCCCATTCGTTGAGTGAACTCAGATCTAAGCTACTATATTTCAAATATCACTTGATAGACTTTAGCTCATTCGTTGAGTGAACTAATATCAAAGGTGCTAAATTTCAAATACCTCCTTCAAATCCAGGGGATAGCGCCGCATTGGAGAGGTCATTTTAAGGAAATTACCAAAAGGACGTGGGATTAAGTCGAGTGAAACGGTCGTTGTGTCGGCTGGGTTTGGGATTTCAAGGGTGTACCCCTAAGATTGTTTGGTGTGGGCTAATTGGGGGGGGGGGGCTGTTGTAAACTTTATTTTTGGCTGGGCTTGGGAGATTAAGGGGTACTCGGTAGATTGTTTGGTGTGTGTGTGGAGGGGGGTGGGGGTGTAAACGTTAGTTGTGTCGGTTGGCGTAGAGAGCTCCAGGGGTGTACCACGTAGATTGTCAGGTGTAGGCTAATGGGGGTGGGG